TTTTTTTTTTTTTATTTTTATTTTACTCATATGTGCATACAATGTTTGGGTCATTTCTCCCCCTTCTCCCGCCCCCTCCTTACTCCCCCCCAACGCCCTCCTTACCCCTACCCCTCTCTACCCGGCAGAAACTATTTTGCCCTTATATCTAATTTTGTTGAAGAGAGAGTATAAGCAATAATAGGAAGGACCAAGGGTTTTTGCTAGTTGAGATAAGGATAGCTATATAGGGAGTTGACTTGAATTGATTTCCTCTGCATGCGTGTTACCTTCTAAGTTAATTCTTCTTGAACTAACTTTTTCTCTAGTTCCTGGTCCCCTTCTCCTATTGGCCTCAGTTGCTTTAAAGTACCTGCTTTAGTTTCTCTGCGTTGAGGGCAACAAATGCTAGCTAATTTTTTAGGTGTCTTACCTATCCTCACCCCTCCCTTGTGTGCTCTCGCTTTATCATGTGATCAAAGTCCAATCCCCTTGTTGTGTTTGCCCTTGATCTAATGTCCGCATATGAGGGAGAACATACGATTTTTGGTCTTTTGGGCCAGGATAACCTCACTCAGAATGATGTTCTCCAATTCCATCCATTTACCAGCCAATGATAACATTTCGTTTTCTTCATGGCTTCATAAAATTCCATTGTGTATAGATACCACATTTTCTTAATTCATTTGTCGGTGGTGGGGCATCTTGGCTGTTTCCATAACTTGGCTATTGTGAATAGTGCTGCAATAAACATGGGTGTGCAAGTGCCTCTGGAGTAACCTGTGTCACATTCTTTTGGGTATATCCCCAAGAGTGGTATTGCTGGATCATATGGTAGATCAATGTTTAGATTTTTAAAAACATTTTTATTGTTTTATTATTCATATGTGCATACAATGCTTGGATCATTTCTCCCCCCTGCCCTCACCCCCTCCCTTACCACCCACTCCACCCCCTCCCTCTCCCCACCTCCCCCTCGATACCCGGCAGAAACTATTTTGCCCTTATCTGTAATTTTGTTGAAGAGAGTATAAGCAATAATAGGAAGGAACAAGGGTTTTTGCTAGTTGAGATAAGGATAGCTATACAGGGAGTTGACTCACATTAATTTCTTGTGCAAGTGTGTTACCTTCTAGGTTAATTCTTTTTGATCTAACCTTTTCTCTAGTTCCTGGTCCCCTTCTCCTATTGGCTTCAGTTGCTTTTAACGTATCTGCTTTAGTTTCTCTGCATTGAGGGCAACAAATGCTAGCTAATTTTTTAGGTGTCTTACCTATCCTCACCCCTCCCTTGTGTGCTCTCGCTTTTATCATGAACTCAAAGTCCAGTCCCCTTGTTGTGTTTGCCCTTGATCTAATGTCCACATATGAGGGAAACATACGATTTTTGGTCTTTTGGGCCAGGCTAACCTCACTCAGAATGATGTTCTCCAATTCCATCCATTTACCAGCGAATGATAACATTTCGTTCTTCTTCATGGCTGCATAAAATTCCATTGTACATAAATACCACATTTTCTTGATCCATTTGTCAATAGTGGGGCATCTTGGCTGTTTCCATAACTTGGCTATTGTGAATAGTGCTGCAATAAACATGGGTGTGCAAGTGCCTCTGGAGTAACCTGTGTCACATTCTTTTGGGTATATCCCCAAGAGTGGTATTGCTGGATCATATGGTAGATCAATGTTTAGATTTTTAAGTAGCAAAAAATATGGAATGCTTCACGAATTTGCCTGTCATCCTTGTGCAGGGCCATTGCTAATCTTCTCTGTATCGTTCCAATTTTAGTATATGTGCTGCTGAAGTGAGCACTCTCCTTTTTTTTAATATGGGACTGGGGTTTGAACTAGGGCTTTGTGCTTGCAAAGTAGGCACTCTATTGTTGGAGCCACACTTCTAGTCCATTTTTCTCTGCTTATTTTCGAGTTAGAGGCCTCATGAACTATTTGCCCGGGCTGGCCTTGAACCACAACTCTCCCTTTTTCAGCCTCCCAGTAGCTAGGATTACAGGCGTGAGCTACTGATGCCTGGCTGATGGTTTTACTTTAATCTCATTTTTTTGTTTTTTGATACTGGGGCTTGAACTCAGAGCTTCATGTTTGCTAGGCAGGTGCTCTACCACTTGAGCCACTCTGCCAGCCTCTCTTTTGATTTCATTGAATGCCCCTCAGTGTCTGGCAAATTCCTTCTTTTCTCCTGACCTCTGTAGTACACCCAGAGCCCAGTCCTACCTTGGAAGCCATGTTTGGTTTCTTCTAGACTTTTCCTGTCCTGATTAAGCTTTGTATCCTTTTGTTGTAATAAGCCAAAGCCATGAATATGACTGCATGGTGTGTCTTGTACGGCCTCCTAATTAATCAATTGTATTCAAGCAAGGATTTACCTATTACTTTGCTATGGGATATAAAATATGATCTGTCTTCATTCTGGTATCTAATACTATGGCATATTACAATTTTCCTACATCTGGAGTATGTAGTGAGGGAATATGGGGTTTATTAAATACTATTAATTCCTCATAAAAATCCAATAAAACTATACTAAAAGTGTTTGCTACATTTTTTTTCAGTACTTGCCACCAGAGTGGAAGTTTAGTCATTTGGCAGGCTTTTTCTTTTTTTCTTTTGTTTGTGGTACTGGAGTTTGAGTTCAGGTACTTTACTACTGAGCCATGCCTTCAGCATGGCAGTTTGTATGGTTATATAATGTTATTAATTGTGATGACTGTCATAAATATTTTTCAGAAACTCTCCCATATACATTGGAACTCATTATAAGTTTATTTACCTGCTATGTATTTTCCTTCACCTCTATTAACATTCTGTCTTTGATTAATTTCTTAGCATAAAGAGTAGACCTTGAATGGAAGTTTTTTTCCTTTTTTTCCATGATGCTTGTTGTTTTAAATTTGTCATTTTGAAATAATTTTATTCAAATATAAAATTTCACATAAAAGATGCAGAAATAGTGGCTTCCCAAAGTTAGCAGTACAAATGATCAAAACCATTAAATTGACATTAGTCCAATACTAAAATTAAACTATAGATCTTATTTGGATGTCACTAGACTTTACATTAAATGCACTTTAATTTTGATATATAGATAGCCCTTAGTATCTTCAGGGGAAATGATCCCAGGATCCCTGTTGGATACCAAAATAGTGGGTTAAAAAATTAGAACTGGAGATAAGACTCAAGTGGTAGAGTGCTTGCTTTGCAAGTGCGAAGCCCTGAGTTCAAAGTTGACTCCCACCAAAAAAAAAATTGATAATAGTAAAGTATTTATCCAGAATAAGATAGGCAATCATGGCTACTTTAATATTTAGATTAAATATTTGATTTGCTGTATATCTCAAGTAGAACAACTTTTAGGAATAACTCCGTAGTATACCTCTAACTATAAAACACAAGTCATCTTCTCTCTCTCTCTTTTTTTCTAAGACAAGGTCTTGCTGTGTAGCCCTGGTTGACTTCAAACTTGGAATTCTCCTGCTTTTACTTAACAGCTGCTGGGATTATAGAAATGTACCACCACACCCAACTTTAAGTTTCTTATATAAAGGGGCATGGTATTTGCGTATCAACTGCTCACATGAATGTCATCCTGCACATGTATACCGTCCTGTATACTACAAATCATCTCTATGTTATAACGTGAATGCTAAATAAATTGTAAGATGCTTCATATATATAGTTCTTTCTTAAATGTCTCAGAAGATAGAGTTAAACCAACAAATTGATGTTTCTCACCATTTGGATTTGTGGTTTCATATATGTGTACAAAATACAAAAAGGTAGCTGGGCACTGGTGGCTCATGCCTGTAATCCTAGATACTTGGGAGGCTGAGATGGGGAGGATTGCGGTTCGAAGTCAGTCTAGGCAAATACTTCTTGAGATCCCCATTTCCAGAATAACCAGAGCAAAATGGACTGGAGGTGTGGCTCAAGTTGTCAAGTACTTGCATTGTAAGTTTGAAGCCCTGAGTTTAAACCCCACTTTCACTGAAAAAAAAAATATAAAAAGGTAAAATTAATACAGAATCATTATTCCCAAAGGAATCCAAGTTTAATTTGCTATGACTTAAGATATGATTAGTTCATCACATGAAGTAGATTTTTATTATAAACAAATGCTCTCTTTTTAGAGTGAAAGAAAATGTCTTTATTTAAAGCCCGTGATTGGTGGTCTACTGTTCTGGGAGAAAAAGAAGAATTTGATCAAGGCTGTTTGTGTTTGGCTGATGTTGACAACAGTGGAAATGGACAAGGTAAGCAACTTACAGCCATACATTTATTTAATTAATTTATTTTTACAGTGCTGGGTTTTAAACCCAGGGCTTCACACATGCTAGGTAATCTCTCTACCACTTGAGTCACACCCCCAGCCCTTTTTGCTTTAGTTCTTCTTCAGAAAGTGTCTTGCACTTTTTCCTCTGGGCCAGTTTTGAAACTCGATCTTCCTACCTATGCTATGGCTGGGATCACAGGTATGTGCCACCATACCTGGCCATTGTTGTGCTTTCTTAAATTGAATATTACTCAGGAAAAAAAAAAAAAAGAAAGAAAACAGAAGAAAGAAAAAGGCCTTAATGGCTTTTTATTTAGTGTCTTCCTATAACATTTAATTCTAGGGGTATCCCATATTAATTAATTAATTAATTGATCATAGCTTAATCTGTGAGAGTGTTTACTTGAGATCTATTTACTGTAACAGTCCTGCAGATTGTTCAAAAATCATACATATAAGCTAGGTGTGCTGGTGCAGGCCTATAATCCCAGTTCTCAGGAGGTTGAGGCAGGAAGATCTCAAGTTTGAGGCCATCCTGGACTACATAATGAGACACTGTGTAAAAAAAAAAAAAATTGAGCCAGGTGTGGTGGTGCACATCTGTAATTCCAGGTATATGAGAGGCATAGGTAGGAGGATTGTAGTCTGAGACCCTGGCAAAAAACTGGAGACTTCATCAAAAAAATAAATAAAGCAAATTAAAAAAATTGGGTGGGGTGGGGTGGAGTGGGGTGTGACTCAGTGGTAGCTCCTGCTTATCAAGCAGGACTTTCTGTGTTTAAACCACACTACAGTCCACCACACCTACCTTTTTATTGGTTGATATGGGGTCTCTTGAACTTTTGCTGAGGCTGGCCTAGAGCGTCTGTCCTTCAGATCTCATTCTCCCAAGTTTAGGGTTACATATTCAGCCTATTCTGACAGAAACCCTTAGTCTTATTCTTTATCCTAATATGAGAATTTTGAATCTATCATTCTCTTGTTTTAAATTATCTTGTGCCCTTACAAGAAGCCATCTTCTATATGATTGACACTCCTTCCTGTTCAGTTGGCCTGTGACAGCAGCTGTCCAGTCCACTAGAGTTTCACTGGCAAAGGGCACAAGGTCCCAGGTGACTAGAAGTGATAACGTGATTATCTGTTCTGCTATTGTGCATGATGTTATTTAACCCCAATTAGAATATGAATGGAAGTCTTACTGCTTTGTGCCCTGACTGAGCCCCAGAACGAATTCCAAATGTCCTAAAGGGGTTATTTGTGCCTACAGTTTATTCTCTGATGCTCATTTCTACAGCAATTAACTGTTTTTTTCTTGCCACAATTGTGGGAAACTATGGTAAATTAAGGAGATTGAGCTGAGTATCCCAAGTGCAGTCAGAGTTCATCTGGCCAAGCTTTGATAGGGATGGAAGATGGAGGACTGCAATCAGATCATCTAGCACCAGATTCCTAATGACCTATGTGTCTTCTTTTAGGATTGAAGTTCCCACAAGAGTACTTTGCTTGTAGGATTATTATGAGTTTTTTTTTTTTTTTTTTGGGGGGGTGGTGGTCTGGGATTTGAGTTCATGGCTCTAGCAGGTGCTTACCACTTGAGCCATGCCCGCCTTTTTGGTTTATTTATTTTTCGATTAGGGCCTCACATTTTTGCCTCGGCCAGCCTGGACCCAGATCCTTCTATTTATGCTTCCTATGTAGTTGGGATGACAGATGTGCCACCATGCCCAGCTTTTTTATTGGTTGAAATGGGGTCTCTTAAAGTCTGGGGTGAACTTGAACTGTGTGATCCTTCTGATCTCTACCTCCTAAGTAGCTAGGATTATAGGTGTGAGCCACAGCACACTGCTTATTGTGAGGTTTTAATGAGGCAGTACACGTAAATTACTTAGACTATTACCTGGTACATAGTAAGCTATCAATAAATGAATATATAGAACTACTTTTAAGTGGATGGACATAAGTTTCCTACTACTACTATATCAAAGTATTATAGACTCATGTGGCTTAAAATAATAAAACTGTATACAATTCTGGGCTAACAGTCTGAAATTAAATTGTTGGCAGGACCATGCTACTTCTGAAGCCTCCCAGATCCTTCCTTGCCTCTTGTAGCTTCCAGTAGACCCAGAAATGTTTTGCTTATAAATGCATCACTCCAGTCTCTGCCACTATTGTCATGTCACAGGGACATCATCTCCCTGTGTGTTTCACAGGGACAGAGTCTCACTAGTTTTTTTGGTGGGAATGGGGTTTGGACTCAGGGCTTCATACTTGCAAAGCAAGCACTCAAAGCAGGCGCTTTACACTTGAGCCACACCTCTCTAGTCCATTTTGCTCTGCTTATTTTGGAGATTAGGTTTTGCAAAATTTTTGTCTGGGCTGTTCTCAAACTGGTCCTCCCAATTTCAACCTCTAAAGTAGTCATAATTCCAGGTGTGAGCCACTGGTGCCTGTCCAGAGTCTCATTATTTAGCTAAAATTGGTCTTCACTGTATAGCCCAGGCTGACCTTGAATTCTGAATCATCCTGCCACTACCTCCTGAATTTTGGGATTGCAGAATGTGTGCAACCATGCCCAGCTTCTTTGTGTCTTAAATGACATTTGGACTAGCTACTATTCTCTGTTTTCTCTTGTTAAGTTCACTATTCAGTTAATACTATTGCATACCTAATTGACTGTGTCCTTATTTTAACTTGATTACATCTGCAAAGACCCTGCGTGCAAATAAGATCATATACACAGGCACCTGGGACTAGGACTCCAACATATCTTTTTCGGGGACACAACTTAATCCCCAATACACATCCTGTACTTCCCCTCTGGCACTTAAGAACAACACCTATTAATCAGGGCACTCTAGTGAGGCTTCAAAATCCTTTTTTAATACCGTGTTTTAGCAGTTGAGACCAGTTGTAAAGTTAATTTTCTATGATAAAATTAGTTTACAAACTTTTATTAGCCCTTTTGTAAAAAAGACTTATTTTGATTGGGTTAATTATGACTGATACTAATCAAGGCTTAGGAAAAAATGTAGTTTGTTAGTATACTTGAATACTGGTGATGTAAAGCTATTTTTGAAAAGCTGTATGTAATTCAAATAGGTTCACTTTAATTGTATCTGCTACTGGCAGAATGGGCTTTGTATGTGAAGCAAGACTGGATTCTTTTTAAAATTTAAATTTCTCTTTTAGACATTAGAAAGTTTATTCACAAAGATATTTGCTAATGTTTGTTTCTTCCTATATCTTTTAAAAAAAATCTCTCTACAGATAAAATAATTGTGGGTAGCTTTATGGGCTACCTAAGAATCTTTAACCCCCATCCTGTAAAAACAGGAGATGAAGCCCAAGCTGAAGATTTGCTTCTAGAAGTGCATCTACGAGATCCAATACTTCAAGTGGAAGTAGGAAAGTTTGTTTCGTAAGTACAGCTCACTAATTCTGGTATATTGTCTTACTTGGTAGATATGTCATTCTCTATTGTATTAATTTTGTGGATTCTTCAAAGAAGATTATCCATGAAATATACATATATATATTTATATACATATGTTTATATATACCTGTATGTTGTCATGCAGAGTTTTCTTATTTTCTTAGGTACTGAACGATTTTTATGTAGAAATTTGTACATTTGAGATAGAATAGTTTAAGACTCCCCCTCCCCCCTTTTTTAAAAATCTTTTATTCATGTGTGCATACATTGTTTGGGTCATTTCTCCCCCCTGCCCCTCTCCTCCACCCTCTCTCCCTCCCCTTTTTCTTTTGAGAACTTTTTGTTTTTGGTGGGACTAGGTTTGTGAACTCAGGGCTTTGCACTGGTAAAGCAGGAACTTGAAAAGCAGGCCCTCTACCACTTGAGCCACACCTCTAGTCCGTTTTCCTCTGGTTATTTTGGAGATGGTGTCTTGCGAACTATTTGTCAGGCTGGCCTTTAACCATGATCCTCCCAATTTCAGCCTCCCAGGTAGCTAGGATTATAGATGTGAGCACCAGTGCCCAGCTAATTTGAGACCTGTGGTACCTGACATATTAGAGGATTAATGAAAAAAATGTGAGAGCTTTAAAAAGATAACCAAATAAAGAAATAGGTAGTATTTACGTACTTAAAGAACAAATTGTTCAGGTCATGTATATTTAAATAATTAGACAAAGTGGCAGATAATCATTACTTTTTGGCTCATAACTTTGAGGTTTTAAAATGAATGTCTTATTTGGGATAGAAAGGGTCCTATCTTGAAAAAAGTCAAGTTAATCCATAAAGTAAGTCTTTTCCATAGTACAAATTTGTTTCAAAGTACTTAGCAAGCACAAGGCAGGTAGGTGCTCTACCACTTGAGGCATGCTTCCTGCCCTCTTTTCCTTCAGTTATTTTTCAGGCAGGGTCTCACTTTTGTCCTGGCTGGCCTTGGACTGTGAGCCTTCTGCCTATGCCTCCTGAGCAGCTGGGTTATAGGCATGTACCACATGCCCAGCTTGTTTGTTGAGATAGGGGGTCTCACTAATTTTTTGCCTAGGATGTCTTCCAATCAGGATTCTTCTGATCTCTGCCTCCTGAGTTGCTGAGGTTACTGGTGTGTACCACCATACCTGGTACCTTTTTTTTTTTTCTTTTCTTTTGGGAGACAAGGTCTTGCTGTGTAGCCCAGTGTCCTGGCCTGGAATTTGCTGTGTAGTCCAGACTGGCCTCAAACTTTCAATCCTCCTGCCTCAGCTTTCCAAGTGCTGAGATTATAGGTATGTGTTATCATGCATGATAAGCCTGTTTTTAAATCTTTTAAAAGTATTGTGAATAGGAAGGTACAAGTCTGATCATGGAGCGGGAATAAATGTGGGTAATGAAGGGGGTTAAATATGGTCACAGTGCCTGATATATATGTATGAAAATGTCATAATTAAACTCACTATTTTGTTTTTTTTTTTTTTTTGTGGTACTGGGGCTTGAACTCAAGGCTCACACCTTGAGCCTCTCTACCAGCCTTTTTTTGTGAAGGGTTTTTTTCGAGAAACGGGTCTCACCTGGGCTGACTTCAAACCCTGATCCTCCTGATCTCTACCTCCTGAGTAGCTAGGATTATAGGTGTGAGCCACTGGCACCTGGTGAAAATCACCGTTTTTTTATATACTTGATATGCACTAATTGAATGAGAAGTTAAAGAAAGTATTGTGAAAGTTATCATGCAGGTAGACTTGGTTTACCTCTTCTTTTTAAGTCTCCTTTTGCCCTCTTATATCTAGTTAATATCTTAAGCTCGGGTTTTGGTTTTATTCCATTTGCTTATCATAATTTATTGGTCCCAGTTGCCATTTTCACCAGAGTTCTGACTCCTGCTTAAAAATCAGACACATTCTGGGTGTT